GCATGCAGTATGTTGTTAAATCATCGAACTAAAATCTTCTGAAAACTGCTGGGGACCTGCTTGAACTGGTTTATACGTATACAAATACAAAAGGTAGTTCTTATTCTTGAATCTGATTGGTTGAGAGCCTTTTCCAACAATGTGATATTCTACTAATATCGCACGGAAATATAATTTCTATCGTTCCGCTTGTTTCTGCCAGATCTTTAACAGACATTGAAGATTTCTCACATCAAGCGTCAGTGGCAGAGGAGCAAACCCACTATACAGTAATTGTAGTTATTGTGTCTTGGAATATCGTTTTTTTTTTTCTTTAGGTGACGTTGTTTAGACCTCAAATATGTGATTTATGCTGTATCTGGGACTTGACAAGCTTAAAAAAATGTCAAAAATCAATCTCAGCAGAACATGACGGTTAAGATGGTATGACCCATTTAAACAAACTACAGATTACAACAACTTCTCATCTCCATTACAAAATATTACCCCTCACTGCTCATTTTAGGGTGTACATTGAGAAAAAATAAACCCCAAGTACTTGGTCTTGCCCCAGTTTTAAGTCCAAACCTGCAGAGTTAGAAAGATCCAATTCCGAAGGGATGGACTGCACATAGCCTAGATACATCTATAATGTTTAGGGATGTCAGCTTTGTGGTTCAAAAAAAGAGAAAAGCAGTGTAACGCAAGACAAAGAACCCCAGCCAGTGCTGGTATGTTTCAGGGATTGCATCAGAACAAGACACTTACTAACTGGTCTAAATTAGAGACAAGCACGAATATTATCTGGACAGTTTTTAAACCAATAGGATTAACCTCATTTAGACCCTGGAAGGCCAATCTGTGTATTTGATTATGAGCAATTAGATTGTGTTTAATTTGGCTGTGCTGAATTGTCAACAAAACCTGAATGTGCCTCTAAAGGAAGAGAAATGAGCTGGCAGTTCCAAGGCTTTTTTACCTATTTATTGGTTACGCAAGTAGGTTGCGACAAGTGTGTCTTATTGAGTCATTCATTGATCCATTCGACCAATATTTGTTGTTTATTCATTTACGAACAAAACTCTTTAGAAGCGGATCTAAACAGTTTGGTTCTTTCTTTGAGTAATTGAATCATTAATTCAAAAATGCTTTTTGTTGATGCAACAAAAAAGCTGACAATATTGTAAAGCTATATTGTCTATATATTATTAGCTATATTAACAATATTGTTTTAATACTGTCGATATCTTTAAAAAAATGTATTTACCTCTGATCATGTCAACATTGTGTAGCAATGTGAATATTTTTTTCTACAAGCTGTCAAAATTGACTGTCGTTTAATCAACTGTCAACATGTTGTTATATTTACATGAGACGTTTAAAGCAGCTGTTCCACTAGGCTTTGTATTAATCAAAAAAATTATTTTGTTTGTGTGGAATGCAGAGATTTGCATTGCATCACAATGGATATGATTGTATAATTCTTGCACAACAAACAAATACATGCATACAAACTTCCACTACTAGACCAACCACTTTGTTTAACTACGCACACTTTACAAAGCCCCGCCCTTCAGACTTCTCAGCCAATCCAATATCAGGAATGCTCAATATGTATATAGAGAGAGTTTGTCATTGGATAGTTTTCTGGTTGATTTAAAAAAAAAAAAGTGTGGGCCGGCTACTGATACTGTTTGCTGTTTACAGAGGCTAGTTTTGGGTGTTATTTTTTATTCTTGTTATGTAAAAATAATTTAGAGAACAAATGTTACTTTTACAAAAGGACATAATGCTATTCATAGGACATTGTTGGACACACTGCATGGATGTTATAATATAGCCTGCCTCAGTAGATTCTCATTATTATTGATAGTAGAATAGTGAATAGTCAGGTACGTGATGATCAGATGGACTGTATGATGAATACTGAGATGTAATGTAATATAGGCTCTCCTGTCCCCGAAAGCTACACACACACATACCGGCTGCAATCCTGCAGTTTTGGTGACATTTTCCTCCATTTTGGAGACGAGTGTTATATGAGGGCCGTTTGAAGAGCCTGTCATTTCTCACGCTGTGCCATGTCTGCGATAATGAGGTACAAAATATGATGAAATCACATCAGTTCTTTCACAGCAGCCTCCCGACTCTTTTGTTTACTTGATCTAATCTTCTTTTTTGCATCTTTTGCTTTGCCATCTTGTATTATTCTACAAAGTATAAAGGGCATTTTATGCATGAAGACGAGGTAGACAGGAGAAGATCATTTGAAATTTGTGAATAATTGAACTGGTTTTGTATGGGTTTTTTGTGCATATATTTATATACAATTTTAGGTTCAAAATTATTTTTTATATTATGTGTTCCCTTGTTCATTTTAAATGAATTTTAGTATAAATATTCCTCAGTTAATATGAGAGCATAAAAACGGCATGTATAATAATTATAAAACAATGAGAATTGAAATGCTGTTTAAAATGTTTAGATGGAGTATAGCATGTCACACATATTAACTTCCCATAAGTTTTTCATGTCAACTACCCGTATATCAACACTTGTTTGTAATATAGGTTTGAATTGAACCTAAAGTTGAAAAGTTACCCTTGTCATCCATATTATTTCCCATAATTCATCATAATCCCAAACAACAAACTGATCCTTTTCCAGTTGAGAAACATTCATCCTATCATTCAGTAACAGATGACCTGTCATCTTCAAAATATTTGAGAATAGACCTAATTCAATTTCCATGCTTGGGTTTGCTGTCTCCATGCTCAAGCTGTGAATATCCCCAGCTGAATCCAAAGACTAACCAGAATCTTGTTATCCACATGGATAATGAATGACAGGCTCCACATGACTTGAGTGTTATCCTTCTGAACCTGTCATGGCCAAGCTATATGGTTTGATGCATGTGTTGTATATTTGGCTTGACGCGGGTGTGGTGCAGTGCACTGGAAGTGTATTTTACCACTGCTGTCTTCTTTCTGCAGTGTGTTTTCTCTCAGGGAAAGTTCTGAAGGCCCTGCCATGCATAAATCAGCTCTTTTGCTACACACATCGCTCACCTAAGATGGCACAGTTGCAATGCTATTTTTGAGTTACCAGCTCATTCATTTTTTTTTCTTTTTTTTGTTACATATTTGAAAATAGTCAGTATTTGCAGTTATGTTTAGGGCCTCTTGTGGCGCAGAAATAACACACTTCACCCTTAAAGGGATAGTTCACTTTGAAATTATTTTTTATCTTACCTCAAGGGCATCCAAGATGTAGGTGTCTTTGTTTCCAGTTTGAATTTTGATATTTTTAGGTCAAACCGTTCTTGCCTGTCAGTCATATAATGGAGGTATATGGGGTCCACCTCAAAGAGCATACACAGAGAAGTCCAAATTAAACATGATTTAATGACTCGCAAATGTAAGTACACATTGAAGGCCTAAGACACGAAACGAGCGATTTGTGTGAGAAAACGAACAGTATTTGTGTTGTTCTAACCTCATGTAACCAAAGCTACGTCCAAGTACTCTGAGGGGGAGGGCGCTTTGGTCTGCGCAAGCGCTGGAAAGCACCGGCAGTGATCTCTCACGTGTGTACATAGAGAAAAACACATTGGAAGACAATTTCGATATATCAACAGACAATGTTGATTTTTTGGCAATCGTGCAAGAGATCCCTTCCGGCGCTTTCCAACGCTTGCGCAGACCGAAGCGCCCGCGGCCTCAGATCACTTGGACGTGGCTGTGGTTACAAGAGGTAAAAACGAAATAAATACTGTTTGTTTTCTCAAACAAACCGCTCGTTTTGTGTCTTAGGCCATCAGTGTTACATTTACGAGTCATTAAATCATGTTTAATTTGGACTTCTCTGTGCATGCTTATTGAGGTGGACCCCATATACCTCCATTATATGACTGACAGACAAGAACGGTTTGACCTAAAAATACCAAAATTGAAACTGTGGAAACAAAGACACCTACATCTTGGATGCCCTTGAGGTAAGCTAAAACATATCAAACATTTATTTCAAAGTGAACTATCCCTTTAAGGCCCTGATATACTCCAAGTGACACTGAAATTGTAATTTCAATCAAAAATCAGGCCAAAACAAACTTCATTTGGAGTTCTTTTCGGGAGTTCAAAACAACTCGCCAAAGCAAACTTACTGGAAGAGTTCATGCAAACAGGCATTGATTATACATTTCCTCAAGTATGCTTTCTTTTAACATTTATAATTAGCCTGAATAACAAAAGGCATTGCCTTAACTCTCAAGTCCGCCTGATTGTCATAGAAACTATTGGCATTGTCATAGTAACTATTGCTCACAAGTACAGTGCATCTGAAATGTGCATCTGGTGTCGGTTTGAAAACGGCCAAATGTCTCCTGCAGGCTCGATAGAAAAGGTATCAGATGAACCTGCAACTGATTCTATTTGAGAAAAGCCCATCTGGAAATTCTGACCTTCACTTGTCTTTGTCAAAAGAGAATGAGCCACTTTGTCGCAGATGCCGACAGGCTCAGAAAATGCCAAAATGCACATTTACCTCCACGCAATCCTTTTCTGAATAAACAAATCCTTTGTTATCCACACAGGAGCCAAAAAAACAAAGTGAATCAATTTTGAATAAAAAGCCATTTAATGAGCTCTAGCAGTTTTGCACAGCGCTGTGCCAGAATCGTCCCTCTCATATAATGCACAGATGGGGAGTAATGTTTAACAAGACATGGGAATTTGGAGGGAAGTGCGCTGCCTCAAATGATTGCAAATTGATTTTGCCCCGACAAAAGTTTTCTAATAGGCCTTGTTTGGATCTGTTCCTGAAGGAAATCACATTCTCTGCATTGCTGATGACACTAAGGGACATTCGGACACACTAAATGTGTTTTACTTTTAACCCATTGCTTTGTCTCCAATCATAATGAATTTGACATTGTCTCCTTGTATTAATTTATCAGTGCTAATGTGTTGTGATTTGTCATACCTGTCAAAAATGCATGAATTCAGCAATAATGAAATGCCTACCTGAATGTTAGAGCCATTGTGCTGTGATTGACACCAAGATTTGGCTGGTTAGCATAGCAGCTGTTGCTAGATGCCAATGTTGCGTAAGATTCTTCCCCCAAGATGTAGCCTAGCCATTTGTTATGTCTGTTAAAAATAAACCACATTTCTCAATGTCTCCTCATAGATAATTAAAATAGTGTTTCCAGTTATTCAATTGTAGCTCTGGTCAGTAATCTAGCAGGCTAATCAGCTAGCAATATGCTAAACTTCCAGCCTAATATTGTTGCAGTGATAACATATTTTTGTTGGCTAGAAAGTTAGCATTACCTTACCTCAAAAAAAAAAGTTTTGATCATCATGATAATCTTCACAAATTAACATTTGTGTATAATTGGCGAAAGTAAAAAGCTAAACATAGGATATGTTACCTTTTTTGCCAAGGTTTAGCCTAATGCCATCGGACATGAAAGCAGTTGGCGTCTCCATTTTTCGTTTGTGGACAATATTTTTTCCACCAAATTACAATAGACTATTTGCCAGTGCTACACTTAAAAACATACAATAGCTACACTTTTTAACCTTTGACTTCACAGCCCAGGATGGCTAGTGAATGTTTTAGGAATGCTAAAAAGGGGATGCTAATGGCTAGCTCAGTTAGCAGATCCCTTTGCAGTTTGCACACATGCTCCTGACAATGTTTCATATTATTTTTTGCTTGCTCTCTCTCTCTCTCTCTCTCTCTCTCTCTCTCTCTCTCTCTCTCTCTCTCTCTCTCTCTCTCACTCACTGTGTATATCCAGTATAATTAAAGCCATGAAAAATCTCATAAATATAATTAATTTGAACGAATCCGAAGTGATCATTTTCATGTCTTTTTCATCAGCGCTAATTAATCTGGAACAGGCTCATGTGTATGACCTCGTCATTCATTAAACAATTATTCAAATGAGCAATTCAAAGGATGATCCCACTTGTACCATCTTGCTCTGACCAAAGATATTTAAATTAGGGTCCTTGTTTAACTGAACTAATAACCCACACACCTTATTCATCATCAGTGTCTCAGCCAGCAACATATCCTGTAATGAGTCCACAGGCATTATGTAGTAACATACTGGACGGATGGCATTAACATAATATGGTGGAGTACATCCTCCTCTACATTGTAATTCACAGCATGTCTGCCTGCTGGTGATGTGAATACGTATATGGACCACCAGTGGGAATAAGATATGCATGGGATTCTTGCGTAAATACTCGCTTGAGCCAGAAAGACAGCTAGAATCGTGTCGAGTGAGACCAATCTCATTTGCTGCATTAGCGGAGACCCAAACAGCTGTCAATAAATGAGAAGAGGCATCTGTGTCTTCTGACAGACCTGGGTTTCATTAGTAAGCACATTTGGTTAGTTTGAAACAAAGGAAGGAATATTTAAGAAGGCATATGCTTTACAGTAAAATGAAAAAGGAAAATTTTGTTCAGGAATGCCAGTTCGTTCTCATCCAAGGCGTCATATTTTTATTTTTGCCACATATTTTTGGCATTTTTTTACGCTTTTGCCAATGCGTATACATCCATAGCGCATGGCACCCTTTAGCGTCAATATGAGACGCAGATATATATGGGGCAGAAGGCGCCTCCTAGTGGTCTAACCCTAACCCTACCGCATACCTAAACCTACCCATAACCAAAGCGTGTTATATTGACGCTAAAGGGTGCCATGTGCATTGGATGTCTACGCATGCATTGGGAAAAGCGTCAGTATATGACGCCTTGGGATGAGAATGCGTTGGGAATGCATGTTTACTTTATTGCACCAGATACCATTACCATTTTTACTGAACTCTCCTACTTGTCTCCTACTCCTACTAGTTATTATTACTAGACTAAATATCATTAAACAACTTACAACATTACAATAAAACTATGACTAACTTTCAATTTGATATCAGATGGAAATAGTGATGTTTTGTGTTTAGATATTTAGTAACAATAAATGAAGGACATTTCAGTAAAATATGCTTAATAGTCAATTGTATCTATTAGTAAAATAAATGCATTACTCCTAAAGTTTCAGCCCTTTTTCCATGTTTTTATTGTAATTTTGTCATAAGTTTTTATTATTATTATTTATTTTTTATTGCCTTCAATATAGCCTTTGATGCTTATATTGCAAGGGAATGAATACATGAATAATGTTTTATATAAATATTTTTAATAAATATTCTACTTATTTTAGTGCCAATACAAATTTGCAGATCTTCTAATTTAGAATCAGATGTGAAACAATCATCTTTTTAATCTTTTTGACCACTAGTTGGCAGCAACATGCATCATGTTGAAAAGCTTTGAGTAAGACAGTTGATAAGAAAGCCTTTGTTTTTCTCAAGACATCATTTCACCATCACTAGAGTACCCCAGATCTCAATTTTCAATCCATTGTGGTTCCTTGGTTCCCACTCATGTTTAAAAATAAAAAAGCCAAACCACTAATGTCAAATGTATTAGCCTAGGCTGCGTTTCACAAAAGCATCATAAGCCTAAATCGATTGTAGAACAATTGCCACCAATGGTCTCAAAAAACAACTTACGATGCTTTTGGGAAACGCAGCCCTGGTTAAGAAGCCTGTAATTTATATCATGAGTGTGTATAAAGTTCAAATCTGTCCTTTATTTATGCTTGTTGATTCAGTGTTTTTTTCCATTTGCAGACAGCATGTGGCCCAATGAGAGCTCAGAAAATCAAAGGTGATTAGAAGTAACAAACTGCTGTCCTTACAGTCAAACTCAAGAGAACCATTTGATTGGAGCCTCAAGGACCTCTCAAGATTTCTTTAACTGTAAACACGCAACCAGTTCAAACAAACAGACACAAACCATATCAACTACGGATTATGCCCATATAGGCTCAAGACGTGCAGTTTAAGTAAGAACACATCTAAAACAATGGCGGACCCCTACCACAACAACGTTTACCACCAGGGAGATGGAGACAGCTATGGGACATATGGACAGGGAGGACCGGACGGCTACGGTTATCAGACTGACTACCCTCCCCAAGAGGAGGACGCCGCCAGTGACGCCACCGAAGGACACGACGAAGATGATCAAATGTATGAAGGGGAGTACCAAGGCATCCCACATCCAGATGAGGCCAAGACTGCCAGGAGGGCGGCGAGAGCGAAAGCGAGGACCTCGGCGGACACCGTTTCAGATCAGGAGGAGCTGGCTGAACAATATGAGGACATCATGGAGGACTGTGGACACGGGAGATTCCAGTGGACCCTCTTCGTGGTGTTGGGTCTGGCGCTAATGGCAGACAGCGTGGAGTGCTTTGTAGTGGCCTTAGTGTTACCCAGTGCGGAGAAAGACATGTGTTTGTCCCACTCTGAGAAGGGAATGCTGGGTAAGTCACCATTTTAGAGTTCGTAATAGCATGCTATTAGACTACTTTCAGTATTAATGCAGTACACACATGAATGATCCACTAATTTAGCCAAAATTGGCTGTATACTGCGCTACCTACTGGTTTCCCATAATGCATTGCACACATTTCCTCTGCTAACAGCCTATCAGGCTGCTAACTTTTGTTTTATATAGTATTCTATATAGAAAATACTCTGCATATATATATATATAAAGAGTTCCGATGCAAAAGCCTCTGAATGCCATTTGAAATTTTCTTCTTTAATGATGATTTTTATCAAACTTGTATATTTAAGTTCAGTAATTTCACTTAAATAACATTTAATAGGTAATTATCATTGCCATTTAAGTGAAATTACTGAACTTAAATATACAAGTTTGATAAAAATCATCATTAAAGAAGAAAATTTCAAATGGCATTTAGAGGCTTTTGCATCTGAACTCTTCATATATATATGTGTGTGTGTGTGTGTGTGTGTGTTCTAGTAATCTGGACATGCTACATTCGTCATGTCGTTATCATGTGACCATACCAGAGTCACAAATCCTCTCCTGTGGCGTTTTGAGATGGTAAAGTGTCCATTGTATGCTTACTTCAAAATCTCGCCTACTTTATTTTGTTATACTGTGAATTCAGACTCCGTTTATATACTGTTTTTCACAGACTATATGGTAAAGTATGCTATATTGGATATCTAACTAACTAACTAACTAACTAATTTAACATAGCAGGTGGTGGCTATATAGCTAGCATCCCATTGTTGGCCCATCTCAGTTACAATGTATGTCAACTTACAATTAAAATGATCATACGTTTATGGGTGGGTGTGCAGATATCCTTTTTCATGCATCTTTTTTTTTTAATTAATTTTAGCTGGTTATGGAGTTCTGGATGCTTTTCCATATGCACATGCTGATGAAATTTTTTGGTTTAATTAATCCTAGTGGTTTTGTGAATTTAAGCAGACCTGAGTCAATTGATATACAGTTATTGTAGCCAACTGCTACTTAAGGAGACCATCAATTAAGAATGTTCTCAAATTAGCTAATGGAGCACTCGACGGTTAAGATTCATGCAACTGGGTTTCGCACTCGGCCTTACATCAATCCATTCTTGCTCAGTAAAGCAGTTGGGGGAACTGACTCGTGACTCCTATAAGACTATGACGGGTTCGTTTTCGGCCAAACTAAAGCCTCAGAGAAACAATTAGCAAGACCAAGCAAGCGTAGAAAGTGTTAGAAAGTTGTTTTTTTTGTACCCCAAAGATATTGTCCCTATAGCTGAAATTAAAGCTTCATGGTGGAAAAAAAGCTTCATAATTATTTTATTGTTAGGGCTGTCAAACGATTAATCGCGATTAATCGCATCCAAAATAAAAGTTTGTGTTTACATAATATATGTGGGTGCACTGTGTATAATTATTTTATATATATAAATACACACACATGCTTGTATATATTTAAGAAATGTTTTCATGTATATACTGTATAAATAATATTTTTTTCTTAAATATACATGCATGTGTGTGTATTTATATACTGTATATGCAAAATAATTATACACAGTGCACCCATATATATTATGTAAACACAAACTTTTTATTTTGCATGTGACTAATCGCGATTAATCGTTTGACAGCCCTATTTATTTTATTTTTTATTATTTTTATTTAGTTGCTATTGTATTTTCAAAAGATAAAATCAGACATATGATTTTAGTGTGTCATGTGGTTTTATTTTATTTTATTTTATTTTGAGCTAAACTTAAAATTCATCTGTAATATAGGCCCGGAATAAAATAGGGAGAGTTTTAGAAGCAAGATCGATATATCTATGTATAGTTTCTGAACAGCATTTTGATCTCAATTCAGAGATATGCCTGATTATCCAGAGATTATTTTATTGATCTACTTTCCTTAATTCAATAGTTACTACTTTGGCTTACCTTGTAATAATGAAGGCAATCTACAAATCTGTGTATCGGATTGAATTGTTCAAGGCACCAGAGGTGAGAGTGCAAAACCTCCCCCCTGTTTGTTTAAGTGATATTGATGTGTGTGCAGAAGCAGCGTGTGTGAGAGAGTAAAGACTGTCTGTGAGCTTCAGGGAACCAGAATGAGTTAGCACTTTTCATCCTGCATGCCCGTCGCCGGTGGAGAACAACTGAGTCAGCAGTAGCCCGACAGATCGATAGCTTCTTTTCTGACCTTGCTCTGATACAGAATCCTGTGCTCACCTCCCCCTGCAATCTCCATCGAGTTATATTCATCACTCGCTTTTTCATATTCTTAAAAGTGTTGGTTCTGATCTGCTATCTTTACAGAGACAGGTCTAGAACTGAACATGAAGTCTTGTAGATGGATCTGCCACTTTACTTAACAGGTTTTCAAAGTTGTTTTCATTTTTTTGGCCTAGCACCGTGCTAGATTTCATGACACTACTGAGTTTACATTGATTTTAGTGGTGTGCAGAAATATCCAGGTAATGCTAGTCAACTAATCGCTTTTAAAGTGCAGTCATATTTATTATTGTTTGGTGAATTTTCACAGGTGAAATCCAGTCATTATGATAGGAATCAACGAAATCTGGAATTTCACGTTAGGGCGAAAGATTTCCCTCACGGATTTCGCATCAGGTTCAGTTAGTCGTGCAGATTCGCCACGCTGACCAACAGAAAGCTGAAAGTGTCTTCTGTGTGTGCTCTGTTTTATGTATCACTACACCTTTTATTGACAATATTATCTTGATTCACAATAATCAAAAAGTTTCACAGAAAATGTAAACGCTTGTTTTATGCCTGAATAATTAGGCTGGTTTGGGTCTGGGAGCAAATTAAACACAAGCTAAAAATATCTTTACTCAAAAATCTTACTTTACTAGTAACTAAAAATATCTCGACTAGTAACTAATCGAGTTCGACTTTTTTCGACTAATCGAAAAAAAATTATATATATATATATATATATATATATATTGTCAAATACTCAGCCAATCTTTCAAAGTATCTCATCTGTACCTGATTTGCAATGAAACACTGCAACACAAAGTTCTATCTTTAAATTGAAATAGTTTCTTGGACCCTCTTTTATCTTTCATTGGTCGCCAAAAAATACTCATGCCATTGGTCGACTCAGTGTTGCTATGTCAGCCTGGTCGTAATTCTCAAACAAACAGCAATATTTCGAAAGCGCCAAGTGTTTTTAGTTCTCGGTGGAATCAGCCTACGAATATCTTATTTATAGTCTCTGCATTAATTTGGAATATGTGAAAGTATTCAAAAAAAATGACACTCATCACATTTAACCCTGGCAAAATAAACTCAAGTTCTCATTTAAATATGAATGACAATAACCATAGCCCTCATTTTGGCTCTGAAACATTGTCACGACTGCGTGACTCTGCGGATTAAGGCTGACCAATGGGATGCTGGGAGGATCCTCACGCTGAGTGGTGGGGGTAATGGTAGCTCAGCTCCATATGTTGATCTGCTCAGAGAGGACTGTGCTGTCACTCTCCCACCAGTCCGACACCAAGTCCTTCACCACATGACCATCTGTACTCAACGCCAGGCCCTCGTGCTTCATGCCCGTTCAGCGCTATAGTTCGGGGGCTGTGCATTATGCAGAATAGATTTCGTCAAATGAGTTAAAAGGAGTATTGGTGTCTGAAACCATAATAAAATCAGAAAAAAAATATGTTTATTAAAGGATTTAATTGAATAAGTATTTAAAATGTATATTTAAAATGTATATTTCAAACAATATCTTAAATGCCATTTGAAATTTTCTTCTGTTTCAAACTGTAACAATTAATATAATTATCATTGCCCTGAACTATACCATATGAGAAAATTTGCTTTTTCTGAAAACTATACCTATGAGAAAATGTTTTTTGTCTAATTTAAAAAAGAGACTCTTGAAGTCTGAGCTGACTCTTTTTGTTTATATGATGCTAACATGAGTCTGTTTTTTTGTTTAAATCATGTAACAATGACAGAAATTCTGTGATTTCTGAAGTCTGAATTCTTGAGCTAACTTTAACGTTTGTACATTTTGCGGATGCTTTTATTTAAAGCAACTTTTGTGATGCATGGTACCTGAACCCATGCTTGTTAGCGCCATTCGCTAGTTTTAGCTAAAAACTAAATTCCTGTTGAATTCCTGAGGTATAATTGTAATAATCTTGCCTTTCAAAAAAGGAGTTAATCTACTGGCATAATGATAATGTGCCACCATCATCATATGACATTTGCACAAAGGTTCAAATTGAATGGCAGCTCTTTCAGTGTTCTCTTAAGTGAGCACCCCACTGACAGACACAATCACTGAACATGCCGTGTCAGCCTAGCGCACCTGTGAGTCCTGCAATAGCTTCTGAACACCCACTCGCACTCATTAAGATTGACCTGGGCTGGTTTCCCAAAAACATCTTAAGCCTAAATTGATTGAAGAATTGCCACCACCAATGGTCTTTACGATCAACTTAGGCTCACAATGCTTTTAGGAAACGCAGCCCAGAACCGCAAAACCTTTTATTGCAATCACTTAACATTGTGACTGCTCATTTGATGTTCTTTTCCCTCTATTTCTGACACTGCAGTAGCTTAAGTTGATTGTGGTTACTTGAGTTCTGATCATATATATGTCTATGTCATTTTAAAAAACACATGTAGGCTCTATATTGAATCTCATTAGATAAGAGTTATTGAAAGTAAACACTGCACAGAACATTTATTTTGGGGGTGATCTGAATCCGAATGCACACTAACAAGAAGGGTAATGTGGGAGATGGCGCCCCCTAGAGGTACTCAAACAAAATGTCTACTAAAAATGTTTGAAAAATCAATAAATAAACACATGGATAAATAACATAATTTAGTTAAATGAAATGTCATTAATTAATAATATAGAAAAGTTATATAAATCAACTGTTAGTTGATCTCACATGGTTTGTTGTTTCTCCTGCAGGTTTGATAGTATTTCTGGGAATGATGTTTGGAGCATTTTTCTGGGGTGGCCTGGCTGATAAAGTGGGCCGACGGAAATGTCTGGTCATCGTCCTGGCCATGAACTGCATCTCTGCCTTCTTCTCCTCATTCGCTCAGGGATACGGCTTCTTCTGTTCTTCAGGCTGTTCTCTGGATTTGGGTAAGCTGGAGGAACAAACAAAGCAAAGAAATATATCAAGAAAAAACACTTGGGTCTGCCCTCCACCTTGGAAGCCATAGAATTGCTTGATAATAAGTCGTTGTTTTCCATTGGAGCTTGAGCCCTTGTAAATCAGGCTTGTCCAGGCTCATGCCTTTCTCCCTTGGCTCAACATCTAATTTAAAGCAAGCAAGGCTGGGCAGTAATTACAGTAGGCTATACTGATCCACAGGGAACTCTCAATCTAGCTGCCTCTGCTAGTATTTTCAAGCAATAAAAGCCTAAGGGCTACATCCTGACTTTAGAGGTCTCCTCAATATGCTCCTGTGGCCATTTATGGAGGTTTTGTGAACAAGAAAGAGGTTTTCCGGTAGGGTGACCAACAGTCCTGTTTTCCCAGTATGTGTCCTGGCCGTTTTTTATGAAGTGGTGAAAATGTCCTAGTTTTCAAAAAAACTGCTGGGAGAGATATAATATAAACGAAAATATAGGATGGTAAAGGATAAAGAGGAAGACAAGTAATTATATAAATATTTTTTGTTAGTTCATTTTTGTAGTCCTGGTTTTTAGTAATCCAAATATGGTTGTAAGATAACTGCTGCCCTGTGTTTTCTTGCAGGATCGGGGGATCCGTCCCAATTGTGTACTCATACTTCTCTGAGTTCCTGCAGATGGATAAGAGAGGAGAACATCTCAGCTGGCTTTGCATGTTTTGGATGATGGGGGGCATCTACGCCTCCTTCACAGCCTGGGGCATCATCCCTCGATATGGTACAAACAAATACCTTGTTTTTTTAGAGCGGTGTAAAGATAAAGTTCCTTTCCCCCCCTTGTTTTTACACAGTTTTTTTTTTTCTTCACTATTTTGCTGTATTTCAGGCTGGGGTTTCAGTATGGGCTCCGAGTTCCAGTTCCACAGCTGGAGGGTGTTTGTGTTGGTCTGTGCTCTCCCAGCAATAGCAGCTTTTGTTGGGCTAATGTTCATGCCTGAGAGCCCACGCTTCCTGCTGGAGGTACAGCTAAACAATAGCTTTGTTCTAAGACCTAGTGAGCTGTCTCGCTGCTTAGCTACTACCTACACATATGGCATCATAACCTGTCATAAGTGACCGATTTGGAACATCATAGGCTGCAACTCACAACACAAATATTGAGCTAAGTTTGTCATTAGCATGATGCTAAGCTAACCAAGTGATACTCTAATAAACAAACCCACAGCACACACAAATATTAATGTGGGTAAAATAATCTTATTTTTCACAAGTCTAATAGCCTGTGCAGGGTTTTAATTATGCTAGGTTTTTAAACAGACTTGTGATTATTCTCTTTAAATGTATAAATATAAATGTATGTAAGCACATAATTGTTGCCTGAACTTGTCAAACTATACCATTCAAAAGTTTGGGGTCAGTACAATATCTTTTAAGTATTTGAAAGAAGTCTCAAGAATAGAGTAAAAGCAGTAATATTGTGAAATAATACTGCTTTTTATTTAAACATTTTGCAAAATGTATTCATATGATGACAAAGCTGAATTTGGTGCTCACGAAACATGATCAATTATCAAGTGAAATGATCATCAATGTTTAAAACAGGGGGGTTCAACTCCTTTTTTTTTTTGGAAACCACAATCAAAGATCCTTTTCTGGATCCTTTTTCCAGAATTCTGCATTCAGCATTTATTTATTTAAAACAGAAATCTTTTGTAACATTATAAATGATTCTACTGTCAGTTCTGATGAATTTAAGGCATTCTTGCTGACTTATACTGTGTGTATATATAAATCATACTGACGGCAAACTTTTTAATGGTAGTGTATGTATCTCACAACTCAAGCCAATATGGGTAATATTGACACCGCTGTGAGAAAACAATATCTGTCTCTTCTAGAATGCTAAACATGATGAGGCCTGGATGATCTTGAAACAGGTTCATGACACCAACTGGAGAGCCAAAGGAGAACCTGAGAGAGTGTTTACTGTACGTTTAATGATTTTTAAGAGCTGATTTGATGTTTGTAATAAAAATGTTATGCAATTATATCTACTATGATTAGATGGTGAAATCTGACTTTTACCATAATGCCTCAAAAATAATGAATCCTTTTATCCAGGTAACTCATATCAAGACTCCAAAGACACAGGAGGATGAGTTTATTGAGATTCAGTCTGCAACGGGAACTGCTTTCCAGAGATGGGGTGTTCGAACTTTGACACTGACCAAGCTGGTAAACTAAAAAGCTAACAGTTCACTTGACTTTAAGTTATTCAGTGTGTAATTTTAAAATAAGCTATTTTTGTGTGCAGGTCATCAAAAATATTTTGTCCCTCTTGGGTCGTGATCTAAGACTCGCTACTCTGCTAATGGCCATCATATGGTTCACTATGGCATTTAGGTAAAGCATTTTTACTAATTCCTTATTAGTCTTGATTTCTGAAACACTGGTGGGAAATGTTAGCGCCCATAGTGTCGCCTATAGTGTCACACCCACTCTCTTCAGTAGCACCTCATTGCAGTACACAAGATCCAGGGGGCGGAGTCGGATCAAGATCTGAGGGGTTGAGCTAAGTAGGATTAGGGGTGGGTTTAGGGATCAGGGGGTTTAGGGGTGGGTTTAGGGATCAGGGGGTGGAGCTGGGTAGGTTTAGGGGTGGGTTTAGGGATCAGGGGGTGGAGCTGATAGGTTTAGGGGTGAGTTTAGGGATCAGGGGTGGAGGGGTAGGTTTAGCTAGGGATCAAGGAGTGGAGCTGGGTGGGTTTAGGGATCAGGGGTGGAGCTGGGTAGGTTTAGGGGTGGGTTTAGGGATCAAGGGGTGGAGCTGGGTAGGTTTAGGGGTGGGTTTAGGGATCAGGGGGTGGAGCTGGGTAGGTTTAGGTATATGTAAGGTGGGAGGAGTTGGATCTGGATCCGACTCCTCCCCGTGTATTTCATGTTCTGGAGTGAGAACCATCTCACTCTCTCAGCCATTGGTCAGAAAAACAGATAGTTCCTCCCCCAAAATCAGACAATTGGTGGAGTATTCACACTTACACTATACATTTCATTTCTTGACTTTCTTGTGGTATATTTTTTAGCTATTACGGGCTTTCGGTGTGGTTTCCTGACATGATCAAACACCTCCAGCACGAGGAGTATGAATCCAAGCTGAAAGTATTTCATCGGGAGAAGGTGGAGCAATTTCATTTCAACTTTTCTTTGGAAAACCAAGTCCATAGAGAAGGAGAATACATCAACGACAAGTACGTTGACAGAAACACCATCTGCAACGTCTGTTATCCATCAATGATCAGGCAACAGTTTCTCAATGTGTGTTGTGGGCTTTCATGCAGATTCATCAACATTGAGATGAAGTCTGTGAAGTTTGAAGACTCCTTGTTCGTGGACTGCCTCTTCGAGAACATCCGATCCACAGAAACGCTCTTCGAGAACTGCACCATCCGCAGTACCATATTTAGCGACACAGGTAAGATATCTTATCCACAATCCAGAGTTGTTTTAGCACACTTGGTCTCATGGTTTCTTAATTTCCACAGACTTATATGAAGAAAAGTTCATTGACTGTACATTCGAGAACGTCACTTTCGAACACAACAAGAAGGGATGCCATTTAGACTATGAAGATGAAAACGACGTCCTCATCTACTTGGTCAGCTTCTTAGGCAGCTTAGCCGTGTTGCCTGGAAATATCATCTCAGCACTCTTCATGGACAAAATTGGACGAATCAAGATTATAGGTGAGTTCACCCTGCTTACAAAGTTCTGTTAGAAGACGTTCTGGCAAGGTTCTTCTTAACTTATGAACAAATGTTCTTCCAGTTGCGTCAATAGAACATTTGTTCAAATTTATCTGGTCTTTCATAATGTTCTTAAAACATCAGCCGTAAAAAAATGTTCATAAATGTTTTAGTTTTTTTTTTTTTACTTTTTTTTAAATGTTACCACTTGTTTCCGAACATTCAAAAACATTTAAAAGTATACATTCCTTTATTTGCAAAACTTACTGGGAATGTTGGGGCGACATTTTGGACGTTATGAGCATTATGGGGAATAATTATCAGAAAACTTTAGGTTTAGTTCACCCAAAAATGAACATTATCCCATAATTTACTTTCCCTCAAGCCATTCTAGGTGTATTTGAATTTTGTCTTTCAGCCAAACACAATCGGAATTATAAAAAAATATATATATAATGGGAGTGAATGGCACCTTAGATTTTGAAGCCCAAAAAAGTGCTTACATCCATCATAAAAGTTATCCATTCGACTCCATGGGGTTAAAAACGGCCTTCTGTAGCAAAATATCTATATTTATAACATAAAAAATTATCACTGGCTATGCGAGTCTAGTTCTGGTGGAAGAGTGACCTATGACCTATACTTTCAGAAGGCCTTTATTAACAGTATGGATTACTTTAATGATGGATAGATGCACTTTTTTGGCCTTCAAAATCTAAGGTACCATTCACTCCCATTATGAAGCTTGGAAGAGCCAGGGTATTTTTAATATAACTTCGATTGTTTTTGGCTGAAAGAAGAAATCATATACACTTTGGATGGCTTGAAGGTGAGTAAATTATGGGATAATAATTTTCATTTTTGGGTGAACTCAACCTTTAATGGGAATGTTATCAAAACTTTCTTATATATGTTTTTGCTGTGCCATCTATGTTTTTAGATCTAATACTGTAGCTTGCAATCTGTCAAAAAGACAAGCCTGTGAAAACCACTTTCTCTTCTTTCTACAGGTGGTTCGATGCTTATTTCTGCTGGATGTACCTTTTTCCTTTTCTTGAGCTTTAGCCAGGCAGCCATTATAGCCTGGCAGTGTCTGTTTTGTGGTGTTAGCGTAGCAGCATGGAACGGCATTCAAGTCATCACCGTGGAACTCTACCCAGCTTCAAAAAGGTATATAAAATACATGCCGCATATTACACACTACATGTCATATTATCTAGGTTTATTTCAACTTTGCAAACAGTGGTACAGATAGTTGGGCTTAATCAAATAATAGTATAATTGTTTGTTGAAATTTCTTTAGTACAATTTACTTTTAGGGCAATTAAAAAAAAGTACTGTCAGGATTTCCTAAAGACAGGCATTGAGGAATTACCAATCAAAAGACATGAAAACGTTAATTTTGTGCTTGACCTTAGTGCAAATGCAGTTTCCTTGCCAGACCACTAAGATTTTGGGGTGGAGAGTATGTAAATGAATCGTGTCATGTGAGGGTTTTTTTAGTGTCCAAAAAAGGTGGTGAATAATGGTACAAATACCAATTTTGAGCCTCACATGACACCATAAGAACTTCCCACTCCCATCTGCGCTTTTTTTAGATTGTGGCCGTACACTAAGGCTCAATCCCAATTCACCCCTTGCCCCTACCCCTTGGCCCTACTGGTTTAGGGGAAGGGTGTCCGGATTCTTGTTGAGATCAAGGGGTAGGGTTACAAAGCCCTCGAAACGGAGATTTTTAGGAGGCACACTCCAAACGGAGGTGCTGCGAGAAAGTTCACGGAATGCATCACAAATCACCGGCGAGATGACTTCGCAAATGGTTAAACATTTACATTTAGTGCCAGATGACACCACCATGCACTTTATTTACTCTTATAATAATAAAAACACCATAACGGCAGAGCCATCGCCGACGACTGATGAATTATCGGGTTCATTAAGGGTTGTTCCATTTCGTAGGGGATATATTTCAACCCCTTGGCCCTTGTAACTCTGTTTTAAGGGCCAAGGGGTACACTTGAAAACAAGGGGTAGGGGCAAGGGGTGAATTGGGAATTTGCCGTTCAGTAAATCTGGCCCTTAAAGTAGTAAACGTCTTTTTAATTTCTGTTCTCAACGTTTCTTACAGAGCCACAGCGTTTGGAGCCTTAAATGCCATTTGTAAGTTGGCGGCTATATTGGGAAGCTCAATCTTCGCCTCATTCGTTGGCATTACCAAAGTCATCCCCATTCTGCTGTCCTTCGGTGCTCTGGTCGGTGGTGGAGTGTTGGCCCTTAAACTGCCTGAGACCAGGGAGAAGATCTTGCTGTGAAAATTGTTTGGTCCAAGCCATTCTATATGACTATTAGTGTGGAGATAACAACTGCTGGCATGTGAAAAATTGGGTTTATTCAAAAACAAACAAGCAAAATACTAATAATATGTGATATAGTGTCAACGAACTCCAATATTCAAAAAACTACAAGGACCAAATGATGGGTTTACCCCTTGTCAGCTATTGATTGATATGCCTGATATTACAAAACCAATCTGCACTAGCTATATAGTTTCAGAAAAGTCTACAGGGAGTATTATAGAGAAAAAACTCTCTAATGAAAAATAAAATTGTCCCAGATTTGCTTGAATGGAGTAATCTGAGTTGTGGAAGTCTCAATCCTGTGCCATTTCTTGGTCAAAAAATTCAGGTACTGTTGAAGAATTTTCTTTTTATCTTATTCCATAGCTTGTAATTTGCTAGCGTCTCATCCTCTGCCTTTGCTTATGATATAATCTCCACCTGAAAAGAGGTGTAATTTTGTCGTGTGAGTTTGCAAGTGTCCCACTCTGTGTCAAGAGACTGATCTCAATGTGTCGCTGTACGTTCGGATGCTCGGTGCAGAATGTGCGCAAGTGTTTGTTAGGTCACTGCGGAAACCATTACGTGCTTCCTCCGTTTTCTATTTTTGCTTTATTTATTGTAAATCGCTGGCAGAGTACCTTACAAAGCTAGCCTCGCTTTTACCGTGCCTCTCACTAAATGTGTTGTTTCTTAGTGCTCTCTCACTCTCTTTCTCTAACGCCCTTTTATTTGATTATTTTGCATCCTGTGAATCCTGAAGAAGTGGAACGGTTTGGTCACTTTGGACTTAAACTTCACAGAGCCACATATCTGTACTTGTTGTTGACTGAGTTGCATGTGTGTAACTTACAAAGTAATGTTTGTGTCAATGTGCTGTCTGGATGATCTAATGTATGTCTCAGTGCAAATAAAACCGGTTAGATCATACTAGTCATTGGTAACCTGTATCATTTCAGTTCAACATCAATAAGCCGGTTATAGGAAGGACAGTACACCCAAAAATAAAGAATCCATCCTCTATATGACTTTTTGTTTTGTGGAACCAGACTGATCTCATGAAATGGCACATATAAGTTATGACACACCAATTCGTATCTAATTTTTTGGCGTGCTATCAACACGCATAATCAAATGTTTATGAACGCTGTTGACTTAAAGGTACAATTGTCACGAATCACACGCTGGAGAGAGAGATCCAAATGCAATCATTTTAACAGGTAATCCGTACTCACACAAACTAGTTCAGGCAGAGCAGAGGTCAAAAATCCAGGCAAGCAGTCCAAAACAAGAAACAAAACACAAGGTAGAGATGTAGTGACGAGAAACACTTCTTCTTCTTCAATTTTTTTAAATGGCGGTTGACAACAATTTGTTGCATTACTGCCACCGCTGGACTGGAGTGTATAACAGGAGATACAGATTTCTATAAAATTAAATTCTTTTCAAGAAAAGTATTTTTTTTTTTCCTGTATTTTTTAAAAACAAAAACAAAAAATGAAAACTCTTCCCAGCATTTCTTTGTAAAATATTACTGTATTCAAATATAATTTCACTGGCTTCTATTTCAGCAAAAAGCCTCCTCTCTTGACAATATTTTAGACAATGTATCGATACATGCTCAGGGATAGGCCTTATACTACCTACAGTTACCATCAACATGCTTTTTCATTTGAAATAAGGTAGGCTACTATTAAGTCTGGTATGCCCAATTCTCAACCTGGACAGCACCACTTCCTCATCTATAGACGAATCCGACGAGCGTTCTGTGTAGGCTGCCATCTTGTGGCGACGCCATTACTGAGCTGTTACACAGGCATATAGACATATGCACCGGTATGTAAACAAACCTCGGTGATAACGCGAACTCACCCTCGATGACAGCTACAGCCAGGCAGAATGACTTGTTGGTTTGATCTGTGACTGCAGTGGCCTCCAGTCACAGATGAAGGTACAAACGATCTTACAGATTAACGTTATTTATGAAAATAGCTTGGCAAGCTAGCTAGGCTAACGTTTGCTAATGAGGAAACTATGAAAAGATCTGTCCATTTGGCAACAATAAATAAATAAATGAAATCAAATAAACAAATTCATGTTTTTCATTTGTGTCCATTATTTATCTCATTTTCACAATGCAACAGGCAAGGGTAAGGTAACGTTACAGCTAGAAAGTATACATAATTTCGACCAATTAGTGTTTTTAAGCCATGGAAAGAGGTCAATATAACAGCAGGAAAACAATTATGTCACATAACGTTACATTTAGCTCAGGAAAGCCATTTAATGACCATAGCATGTTAATTGAATAGAAAAAATAGCAAGAGGAGATTTTGCTGATCACTATATCACATATTTATTATATTTTTTTTTACTTATGTCATTAAATAATTGTTATTATACGCGAATGTCCACGTCTTGTACTCGCCCAGGAAATCTGTAAACCGTACGGCACCAGACAGGGGCAGTCGACCCGGGGTATTCACAGTGTTTTCTCTTCAAAATTGAAATTTTACTGCCACCATTGAAACAATTTATAACGGAAACTGTTTACCCACTCGACATTATACAAGGGATAACGTTGTAACGATAGTGACAGTCGTAAATCGCGGGCTGTTTATTCCAGTGGACGCAAGTTGCAACTAAAACAATAGGAGGCAATGGCGCAACGCTACCCAGCAACAGCTCAGTAATGGCGCCCCCCTTACTTCCGGTAGTTTCGCCGGATTCGTCTATAGTTCTGGCTGTACCTGCAACCTTTTTAACTTTAGGCTGTACACTAAAAAGATGTCTCCCAAAGGATTTAGCAAGCTCATTCCCCTACCCATAAGAAGGAAAACAAAGGAAACATTTACACAGACAGGGTATTTAACAAGGAACTCGGAAGAATGAATGACAAGGAACAGCTGGATACAATAATAATGAGGAACAGCTGAGTGCAATGAACAGAGAACAGGGATTGCAGTTCATGAAAGGATGACACCGTGGGGAAGAGGACCTCTCGTGGATACCCGGGGAAACACAACCCAGACACTGTGACAACAATATGCAGGATTTTTGCAGTAAAATATCCTAAAATCACTGGGCCAATGCTATATATTTTGTTTAGTTGACTACTTACAATATCCCAAATGTTTCCAACTATTTGTAAAACGTGAGAAATTTGCGATTTTAACCAAAGAAACGGGGCATGTGAGCAGGGGTGAGGAGTCGCCAGTCAATGGGGTCATATCCGCGTTACCCCCGGTTTCCGCCAGGTTTGACCTCGTACGCAGTAACCATGGCGACAGACGTGGACAATTAGGTCGGTTATTCCCGTTAGATAGCATACCACTTAACTTAAAAATCAATGTTTACGCAAAAGTCATGATGTCATGTTTGTGGAACATGGAATACATTTACAGTATGGGTCCAATATTGTTTTTGGACCCCATTGAATTTCATTGTGTGGACAAAAAACGGTTATTTTGTGTAGAAATAAAAAGTCATACAGGTTTGGAACAACATATGGGTGAATAAATTACAGAATTTTCATTTTTGGGTAAACTATCCCTTTAAGCTGTCACTGAACAAAGCTGTGCATATTATTACTGTATTGCTTTAAAAATCAATACATGCACCAGAATTAAATTTATACACCTAAAAGATCTGACCGTTTGATAGGTTGAAGATCAACTTAGTTGATTAAAGGCTGAATAATTCAATGAAAACCTCTTTCTCGTCATGCATAATTAACAATAAACTCTGCATAATGCATATTTAGCACTCTGTCTCCTCTCCACCAGAAAGCTGGTGTGTGTGGGCGTTCGGTGCGGTGTGGCTGCCGTCTTATCATCAAGGTGGATGCTGCACATTGGTGGTGGTTGAGGAGATTCACACCTTCCAAATGCGCTTTGAGTACCCAGAAAGCGTTATATAAATGTAACAAATTATTATCATTATTATTATTATTACTTGCTTATTCATTTTTATATAGCATTTATTTGGAAAGATTTTCTGGCTGACACAGAAATCATTCATTTTATGTTTTCCATTATGGTGCTTTTGTTTTGTGACTGTACATTATGAATTAAAAAACTTGCACGTTTTTTTTTTTTTTTTTTGGCTGAAAACTTTTCTCTGCCTGCCAGCTCATTTTGTCCTGGGGTTTGAGCAACTCTGTGAAAGATGTAACAACAAGACATGGGAAACGGAGTTGGAGCAGAGTCCCTTTTTTTCGCTTGGTTGAGAGGTTTTAGTTTGTAGACAAGTTATTCAGCTCTTACGGTCACTGGAACTGTGGAGGTGGGTGGGAAAATATGCAACAAAAAAATAGTGCAAAGATCATTTTACATGCAGATTCTGGTAAAAAATGAGTGCATAACAAATACTAGATTGTTGATACTTTTTGCACATTGGGCACCACATACTTGTGTCGTTCTCACAATGCAATGTCATGTTTCTCCTGATTTGCAGCACCTCTGTCTCAAGATATTTTGTTTTGATTCACACTCAGGGTGCAAAATGCTGCAGGCCATGAGAGGAGGGAAAAAAAGAGAAAACATTGTAGTTCCCATGGGAAGGTCGAGAGGTTGATTTGGATAAAAGTTGTTGCTTTAAATGGTAGGATTGAATAGAAACATGGGCCTTAATAAAATAGGCCTTTCTTTCCTTTTGAGATTGTGAAAAGATAAACACTGTGGGCTTATAAGACTTTAAACGAATAGATTCGAACTGTCTCGCCCTCCATGCCTCTGAGGTGCCAAAGATCACCACAGTCCTGGCACCTTTCGGCTCTCTCGAGACCAGGGTACGGAAAGTTCACAATCGCAAAGGTCATACTAAGGCCTTGAAAGGACAAGTCATCAAGCAAAAACGCAGATGTTAGCTGAGATGCCTCAACAACCTGCTGCAACACAAACTACTATTTGCCGGGTTAGTAAAAATACACCATTCAAAAGTAAAGAGTCAGTAAGATTTGTTATGCTTTTGAAGTACTAAGACTGCATTTTAAAATACAGAAAAAACTGTAATATTGTGAAATATTATTGTAATTTAACATAGCTGTTGTCTATTTTGTTATCTTTTAAAATGTAATTTATTCCTGTGATGTGATCCTTTAAAAGAAGTCTGCAACTTAAAATGTTTTTCTTATTATACAAAAAAAAACAAGAGAAAAAAATAAATAATTATTACAGGTCAGTTTTTTTCATGTATACACAGGTATCGCACATAAATATCGCACAGGAATCCATTAAATGTACATTTCTTGTTTTCAATCCATATTAATACATGTTATTGCTTGCCATTCATGTCCAAAATACTCTTTAAAAAGTTTTTTTTAACCCTTTAATGCCGACTGGAGCGAATTTGCATCAAACCCCTTCCATTCAGACTGCAGGCGAGATAGCATGTGTATTCCCCCAATGCCTGCTTTAATTGTAAATAAATTCAGGCGTCAAGGGGTTAAAAGAAAACTAAATAACAAAGAATGATTTTAACTTAATTTATTCACACAGAATAGTTATACTTAAACAAAAATTATATGTATATATTCTTGTCACTGTCCATTACTTTGGGAACCTGATATCCGTATTGGATTAAGTTATATTGATGATTTTTCCTCCCTACTGCAGAGCAGCAAATAGATACTTCTGAAAATCAATTGATTGTATTAGTTATTGTTGAATACAGTGGCTTTAAGTGCTCTTTAATGATTCTGAAAAGATGAACTCTTGACTTGATCTCGGCGAGGTCACGGAGACTCATGTGAACTGTGTCTCACAGGATTCGCACCTATAGTAGCCTAGTTCTCAAGGTGCCACTTCGAGGTGCCAGTCTAAACAGTGGCATCTCAAAACCCCCACAACCTCACCCACACACCTTCAAAAGAGTCTAAATATGTAGTCAATAGCTTTCTAAGATGTTTTCAAATCACATATTATTGATTTTGAGTGTTTAAAATGTTGAAATTGCACGTTGCAGCACACATGCTAATCGATGCTAATGCTAATCAACGTTTACAAAATGGAACCTAAAAGCTTTTAACAGTCTACAAATCAATGGGCTTTATTTCTCAAAAGTCTTTTCGATGGCAGTATATTAGTGTGATGGCTCTAAATATTGTTTAGCCAGCCTCATTAGCTCGGTTACATGTGTGGTGTGAAATTCCATTAAAGGTTCACACAGACAACTGACCAGTGGACTTCCCTTTAATGTGACCCATTAGAGGTGTCGTTTAACACCTTGGCTGTGAGAGAATGACCCAAGCCTCTGTCCCCTTATAACTGTGACCTATTGACCACACATCATCGTCTGTGTATTGGTTTCTTAATAATCAGAGAAAGCAGGCTATAGATTTATCCTTTATTTGTTCATCAATGACTATAAAACTTTGCATTAGGGAACTTTCTTGTTATGTTTATTTGGCATAAAATATAAAAAATATAAAAAATATTTGATTTTATTTTATGTATGTATATATATTTATATTGTATACGCATATATATTTTATATATAATATTTCATATTTATTTATACTCCATGGGGAATTTGAAATAATGATAAATATGTTACAAATAATATTTATTTGATAAAAAAAATATCATGTGGTCATATTTTCAAAAATATTTCTGACTAATTATTCAAAGTTGAACATAGGACAGTGGTATACAGTATGATATAGACTGATAAACATTTTTATGTAAATATATAAAAATGGTAGGGCTGGGCAACAATTAATCGCATCCAAAATAAAAGTTTGTGTTTACATAATATGTATGTGTACTGTGTAAAATTATTTTGTATATAAGAATTCACACACGTGCATGTGTAGACTATATTTAAGAAAAATGTGTTATTAATATATAAAATATTTATATTTAATATAAATTATGTATAAATATATATACACAGTATACATGCAAATATTTCTTAAATATATACATGCATGTGTGTGTATTTATATATTCAAAATAAGTATACACACTACACACACATATATTATGTAAACACAAACTTTTATTTTGGATGCGATTAATCACGATTAATCATTGTCCATGTATATATATATATATATATATATATGCCATCATGTTTATTGACTACTGCTAGTTTGAATATTTTTAATGAACAACTTTTTCACATATATTTCCATATATACCACTTCATTGTGTTTCTATTTGTGGATTGAAAATAATCTAAATACTACTGGAGATCTTGATGTTAAAAACAGAAGAAAAAAATGTTCATGCTGGGTAGGGGTGAAAAATCACACATTACCTGATGACTCATATCTGTAGGTTCCCACATCGGGACTGGACTTCTCTCCTTCGCTCACTGTAGTCTGGTCTGAGACAGACAGTGGTGGCCTGGAGAGGCCTGTGGAGGTGTCAATTCACACCTCTCAGGCCTGAGGCTAGTATAAATCCTCCCTCCAGCAAACCCTCCAGCATCACTGACCCTCTCTAACCACACAGCATGGACGTGTCTTCTCCACTCCTCCACTACTTCACACAGAACTCCTGGAGCTGCCCGAGCTCAGACTCTGAGGTCTACAACATCTCATCTCCTGAAGCAGTGTCTCCTACCTCCTACATGGACTTCTCTCCTTCAGCCCAGCTTCAAAACAGTTCTTCTCCAACTTCACGAGGTGCCAAGGCACCCGTTTCGGGTTCATTACATCAGGACGGCGCATGTTCCCGTGTCGGACCAAGAAGAACCCGCTCCAAGAACCCGAGCAAGCAAAGGCAGAGTGCCAGCGAGAAAGAGAAGCTCAGAATGAGGGACTTGACCAAAGCTCTCAATCACCTCAGGACTTACTTACCTCCTTCAGTGGCTCCTGTCGGTCAAACCTTGACCAAGATCGAGACCCTTCGCCTCACCATCCGCTACATCTCCTATCTGTCTGCTCAACTAGGCTTCAGCGAAGAGTCTCTCTGCCAGATGAGGGACCTTGGAGCTTCTAGATACCAAGAACTGTCTCAATGTCAGGGCAATTCAACCCCAGAGTATTGGGGAATCAGCACATCACATCAAGAACTGTGTCAAAGCACCTTCAAACCTTCAGAGCATGCCTTGAGGCAGGCAGAGATGGTCATGGAAACACCTGCTTATGATGATTCCTTCAACTCCAGCTCAGAATCTCTTCTGGCCAGCCCTTTGTATGCAGATACAGCCACAGCATACCAGGTGTGTACTTTGTTTATTGTCTGATTTATTATTAATTGACTATTTTGCTTTATAAATGCTGTATAAAATACTTACCATCTTTTGTCCTCTCCTTTTAGGGCTACAACAAAGCCGTGCACTATCCGGTTGCTCCGCAATTCTGGGGATGAAACTCATTGGACTTTTTTCACATATTTCAAACTTTTATGGACTGTGCTGTATAGTATTTAATGTATTTTTAATATATTGTTTTATCTTATTTTAAGATGTCTATTTTAATATTATATATTTTGTATGTTATCGTTTTTTTGTACAGAAGTACTAATTTATTGCTATTTATAATAATAAAAAGTATCTAAATGTCAACGTTTTGATTTTGTGTATTAATTTGAAATGAAAAATGAAATTAACTTTTTACTTCAAGATTTTGTTGAATTATTAATAAATAATAATGATAAAGGTTTTGACTTTTTAAAATCAACTTTTAGCATTTTTGCAGTTCACATATGTTGGCCTATTTAAACACTTAAAATGTAGCCTATTATTGTGTTTAAAATAACAGTTTTCCCATTCACTGTAATAATTATCGATTTGAATATATGTTTTCAAACCTATTCCGGGCTCCCTGTTCAGCACCTTATTCACAGCAGCGCCATCTTTGATACACACATCACTTCAGTGCGTTGTACTGTTCACGTTGTAGCCTACTGTGATTTACATTGTTATGCTGATGAGACACTGCAATACAATCTCTTTCCAATACATTTTAGCTGACAAAAAACAACTCCTGACAACATATTGTGGGAAAATATAAGTAATATAGGAGATTTATAGCGAATGCCATTGAAAACAAGTCTCACCGCCTCACCTCGGACCGGAAGTTAGGATGTCTGACGTTTGACTAACCGGGCCCAAACACAAACCCTAACTTCACTATTTATAAGTGAAGTTATTATATAGTGCATGCCCAACCTAACCCACCACTAAAACTAAAATAAATAATATAATATAACATAATATTCACCCCAATTTCTGGTCTGAGACTGCTGGATGGCGCTGCTGTCCTGAAACTGCTGTGATGTATTCTGCAGTTGGTTGTTTTGTTGTGATGAAATGTCTAATGTCTCCATAAGATGGCGCAATTTTACAGCCACAAGCCAGCAATGTTTTTTTTTTTTTTTTTTTTTTTTTTTTTTTTCACGATTCCTCCTCATTTCATTCGAAATCACATACACACACATAACAAATGAATTCTGAATTCACAGTAGCCTACTCCAAAAAAGAAAAAGAAAAAAGGAAAGTAGGCCAAGCTAAAGTATTCGGATGATACTACTTTCGCCGAGATTCTGAAGTGTGGATACGATTGACACTATCCCATGAGGCCACGTGAGAGATTTGAAGAAATCCAAAAAAAAAAAAAAAGGCCCTACTGACAGGCACCAGCTTTGAGTCTCACCTTAATAGTCATTAACATTTAAATTACACCCCAAATCATGATAAGCTAATGGGCTTTTGCAGCCAGTATTCACATGTAGGGGCAGCAGATAAAGCAAATTTAATATGCAGTTAAAACCCATCTAAATAAATAATTAAATAAAAGTCAAAGTTTAAATATTATGATCCTTTTTTGATGGTTAAATCCCATCAAGGCAGCTATACGTGTTCATGTAGAAAGATTGTGAGAAAAATTATATTAATATCAATATATTAAGAGTGATAATTATATAATTTACTTTTATTTGTTATTAAAAAGCCAAAACACATTTTATTTCAAAGCAGCTTCACAGGAAATAGTGCCATATTGATAAGCTAAAGACAACAATGGCCAGAAAAACTCCCTAAAAAGATACTTAAACATTTTTATATCAAGAAAGACATTTAAAATTGTAATTTACATATTTTATGCATTTTTAAAATTACATTTACAAATTTCTTTTACATGATTATTTTACTTAGGCTTAAAAAAAAATCCCCTCCGAGGCCCTCTGGTGGTCGGAATAAATAAGACAGAAGTTGCTTAAAGGGATACTCCACCGTTTTTTCATATTAAACTATGTTATTCCTTTAACTAAGACGAGTTGATACACACCTCTGTCATCTAATGGCGCTTTTCCACTGCTGATACGGCTCAGTACGGTTCGGCTCGCTTCGCTTTTCCACTGTGTGGTACGACTCGGCTAGACACGGTGACGGCACGGCTCTGTTCGCTTTTAGCTCGGTTGCTTTTCCACTGCAGTTAGTACCGCTTTAAAGTGGGTAGGATTATAAACTGATCGATAACAGCGGTGGCTGTTACTCCCAAGCACTTGCTGTGGTATTCCGCCATACGATATAGTTATCCAATTTACACGCTTAGAAAAGCGCAACGTTTTATTTTTTGTCACCGTCCTAGTTACACTGCTTGAGTATCTGTATTTAAATAGGGAAAACGTGGAGGTGTTTTGGGTCGCTTCTATTGAATGAACTGGGCTAGTTAAGTGCTATCAATATCTATCGCGCGCCAGAGAGATATGTAGCTTATCAACTCGTCTTAGATAAGGGAATAACATAGTTTAACATGAAAAAACGTTGGAGAATCCCTTTAAAGGGAGGAGAGTTAAGGATAGTCTGTTTGTTCTAAATCTGTGATTCTAGAGTTTCATTGTTCTGATTAGCTTAAAAGAAGATGAAGAATGTTGGTAACCACAGTTGCTGTTCCCCATTGACTTCCAAATGTGTTTTTTTTTATTTATTTTTTTTTTGGGGGGGGGGGGGGGGGGTTATGCTATAAGCCAATTGGGAACAGCAGCTGCCTGGTTACCAACATTCTTCAAAATATCTTCTTTTCTGTTCATCAAAACAAAGAAACTCGCACAAGTTTAGAACAACTTGAGGGTTTTCAGAATTTTTTATTTTTTGGATGATCTATCCCTTTAATTGAAATATCTCTCTGCTAATAGCCAGATCAAATAATTAGCCAATATTCTTTTAAATATTTGAATACTCTAATCTGGTTTTAAACTAAATGAATTCTATTTAATTCTAGTTAAACTCTACTATTCAAATAAAACAAAAGAAATAACATGATTTTCCCAAAGCCTTTCCAGCCGTCAGCTAAGTACTAATCAGTCCTGTGCAAACAGAATCTCTTTCTTAATGAACTACAGGTCAACAAAAAAGAGCATCTCACACCTCTAAGTCTGGAGTGGATGATCCCGGCTTCAAAAGCCTGAACTTCATGCATCCTTATCTTCATGATCCTCTAATGCGAGAGGGGTCGGGCCGCTGCTTTGGTTGCAGGACCGTCCCGAGGTGTGAGATACTGAGGTAATTAGAACTAGGACTCTGCTTTACATACCCTTGACCCTGTGACTGATATGCAAATGTTGAGCTCAATACACAGTTTACAGAGCACTGGGAGGAAAGGATTTAGACAATTTAGTTGTTTACCTCAAATCAACATTTAACTGAGCAGGATAAGAAAAACACTTCACATTGATGTGCTAATCGACCTTTGATGCTTTTGGAAAAACTAAGACGCTTTGAAAAGGGAGAAGTCAACTCATTTGCAGGGAGGTCTGAGACTTTAAATCAACATTTCGGTGAATTAACGGTGAACGGTGACATGTTTAATGAGTTGAGCGCACAATTTGAGTTTTTGGATGTTTGCGTTTGCTATTAGTTCGGCGTTGTGTGAGTTTGCTATTTTTATTTTTAATCTATAGGCTGTTAAATGCAAAAATGACCTTTATATCAGTTGAACATTGAATGTTCAGAATTGAATATCATCAGCAGTGTAACATGCCATTTCTTCTGACGTTGTCTCAGTCTGGGAACAGTCCAAATCAAATTATTTGAGGTCAGCACAGGGCAAGAAGGAGCAAAAAGTGACACGTTGTGGTCTGGGAACCATTTCCTCAGAGCTACTCACACTGAAGCTGTAATCCACAAGCCCAGGCCTGAGGACGAGCTCATCTTACACCTCACAGAAGAGAACGACAACTGCATATACTGTACAACCAGCAATATTTCATCTTGCTTCAATTCTCATAAACTGCGATTTTGCACTAGTTGCTTTTTAATTATATCGTCATTTGAGTTTTTAAGTTGTTTTTTAATAAAATAAAAAAATAAAACTTATGTAGGCTATTGTATAATTCAGAGTAACATTTATTATTTTCTTTATAATGTATTTTACATGAGTTCAGTAAAACTGTTTTAAAAATCAACCATTTAAAATATGCCCCCTATAATAAAAATAATGTCCTTCCTGAGTTGTGAGGTCATTAAAGCTAAAAGTCAGTTGTCTAAACAAAAACCTGTGAACAACTGACACATGACAGGCTACACACTTCACGAAAAATGTGATACTCTGAGAGAGCAAGTATTTTATAAAAGAACAACATAAGACTTTTCAATTTGTTAACTTTATAAAATTAATGCAAAAGAATGGATGCATAAATAAATGTGCTCCTGCTATTGGTTGAAACAATTTTCTATTATGTAAGTTACACTGTAAAAAACAATATAGTTGGTTTAACTTAAAAAATGAAGTAACCTGGTTGCCTTAAAATTTTAAGTTCGTTGAAATGGAAAAATTGAGTTAATACAATGAAGGAGATTGATTTAATCACCAGAAACTCAAAATATTATGTTTTCTGAGCTACATCAATTATTTAAGTTGATTTGACAAAAGAAAAACCGTTGTGATTACAAATCATACAAATATTTTATTTTTATTTTTACAGTGAGGAACCAAATATCCCCATAGTAATACCAGTATTGTATTTATTTATTTTTTGTTTTTAGAAAAATGTTAAAAATGCTGAAAGTTTGTGTGTGTGTTTGGTTTAGGTGTTCCCTACATTATAGGGACAAAATGTCTATAGCAATATTCGAAACCCTTGTCCTTGCGGGGACGTGTTTTGGTCCCCGTTAAGAAAACAGTTTATTAAATTTATTGATAAGTTTTCAGTGATATAGGTTTAGGGGATAGAAAATAAACAGGTTGAATAATATAAAAATCATTATGTCAATAGAATATCCCCATTAAATAGGGACTGGGTGAAAATTTAATGGAAATAAAACAATAAAATACAATAAGAATGGCTATAATTTGATCCGACATGTAACATGAATTTGAAAGGCATTAAAACACAATAACTAAAAATGAATTTATTTAATATGATTGATTTTTAGTGATGTGAGTGACATATTAATTTAAATAAATAAATAAAATACCTCCAGACTTTAAATCGAAATGTATCTTGAACTTGTCCTGCACCGATGAATGTTATTTTACCACCGCATTCAGCACCTCCCACCTGTGCTTGCAGTGATGTGAGTTTTCCCAGAGACCCCCTGCCCCTGGTGTGACGTCTCTCTGCCGCTTTGAAATTCTCAAGCGCCTTGTGGAGGTGCAACATCACACCTCTTCATCCTGGATATATTGGGCTTCTGCCTCCAGCTCTTTAGCATTCACTCAGGTACCAGAGAACGAGAAGGAAACATCTCCTCAGCTGAAAGATCACAACCATGGAGTTTAACTTCTCTCCGTATATGCTCCAGGGAGCCGCATGCCAGTTTGAATACAAGCGATCACCTACCAGCGTTGATGCTGGGTACTTCAGTGCCTGTGGAAGTCTTTCTCCGAGCTCCTCCATTGATTCTGGGTGTTTTTCTCCTCCCGCGAGCCGTTGGGGAGCTGGAAGACATCCGGAGGCTGCAGGGGAACCCAACATCGACTGCATACCAGCTTTGAAACCCAGAACCATTCTTCCTGCTGAGGGAAAGAGACGTTCCAGGTCCAAAAACCCCGGAACGAAGCGTCAGACGGCCAGCGAAAGAGAGAAGCTCAGGATGAGGGATCTGACCAAAGCTCTCCATCATCTCCGAAACTACCTACCTCCTTCTGTGGCTCCTCCTGGACAAACCTTGACCAAGATTGAGACCCTTCGCCTCACTATTAGCTACATCTCGTATCTTTCTGCTCAGCTGGAACAGTCTGAGACCTCCAGTCATGAAACATCATCAAGATGCTTCTCTTCAGACAGGCTTCAGACTGAGACCTGGTGTCTGGATGGGCCAGAGGAACTCATGCAAGACAATGTCCAGAACTGTCCAACATTCACAGCCTTCAGTGATTCAACACAACAGATGGAAAACAACTTTCCTTCTACTTCATATATGGTAAGGAGGCTTTTCTTGATACTGAACACTGATACTGAATGTTTATTTAATAATGATTAAGAGTTGTATTTGTTGGTTGCACAGTGATTTAATTCCCTTTTTCTTCTTTTAACAGTTTCCCTGTGCAACAACACACGATGCTACATACAGCCATCTGTTTTTTCAATGAAGAACACGGAGAGGAGATGTCAAAAACACGACAAGTGAAAACTTTATCTAAAGACTTTATTTGTTTGTTGCATTGATTATTTGTACTTATTTATCAGATAACATATTTTTGTATTGAATACATTTGTATATATTGCTTATTTATTGTATTTTTTAATGAAATGCTTTAAAATATTACACGTTTTTGCATTTTCTTTTTTTTTTCTTCATATGTTTTTGAAAACACTACACATAAAACACTATATATAAAAAATATATTTTAGATTAAATAACCTTGAGAACAGAAGGATCATATTCACTGCAAAAAGAAACAATGAATTCATTGGCTACTACAGTGGGAAAAAATGATGTATAGGATTTACATTGAAACCGAATCTATTCCGAATTTGCTAGTAAATTTCACTAATAATACAAAGAAACAGCAAGTGACACATTGAAATAAACATTAGTAGAAAAATTGAAATAGTATTTTCTTGTAAAATACATAACAATAATCTTTTTACTGTGAATTCTAATGAATGGCATAATTATGTTTAAAATTATTTTCTTTTCAAAAGCAATGAGTTGTACAAAATGTTCAAAAAAAATGTTGTCATCACAAGATTGTATATGTACTACGTTATTGCTGTTACTATTTTTACTTTTTACAATAATCCAATCATCTTAACGGACCATTAAATTAAAAGGAAAAGTGTATAGTAGGTGCCAGGCACGTGCACAGGTACACAAAACTGTAGCAAAGATAACATTTTGGAAATGTATAAAATAAGTATGTACAAATTACATTACAAAACACATGAATGCTCCTGCTTTTAAAGCAAATCAGTATGTGTCAAGCAACGAGGTTTATAACAAGTTTAAAAAGTTTGCACAGTTTGGTGGCAATCACAATTGTATTTAAATCTCAGATCTCAGCACAGATAGCCTATCATTGTGGAGGAAGCATTAAGGTAACAGAAAATACAGTAATTTTTAATAACTACGTGTAAAACGTTGTGAATAATCTTAAGAGAAATATGTGCCATGTTTTCAGCATGTGATATCAGCTAGTCGTAAATTAATTAAAACAAAACCTTTTCTTTTCAATACTAGAAACTGTAACACTCAAGACAAAAATGTCAAATAACATGCGAAACAGCAACACATAACACGAACAAGACGGGACACTGAACAGAACACAGGCTGGAACTTAAATACACAGAGATGATTAACTAAAAGATGAACAGCTGTGATGATTGGTGTTAGTGTCCCTGGTGACCGATGAGTGGCGGGAAACACGTGATGAATGTAAACAAAACAGAAAGTCCAAGAACCTGAAAGCAAGCTCAACAAGACTGTGACAGAATCAGAGCTGTCAGTCTGTATGTCAATTCAGTCCGTTCTCATATTACTGACGCTTTTGACATTGCGTATACATCCGACGCACATGGCACCCTTTATATGAGACGCAGATATATACGGGCGCCTCGTAGTGGTCTAACCCTAACAGTACCCCAGACCTAAATTGTTACCTTTATGGTTTTTTATGCATAAAAAGAAAAAAGTTTACGCTTGTTTTATGATCATTAACATAGACAAAAAAAATTGACAAAAAAACTCATGTATAAATTCACTTTACGAATACAATCTCTGTGGTTGTATTTTTCAGAATTTACAATACACCCATGACTTACTTATAAAAAACTTTTTATATTCCAATGATAAAATGTATGACATTAAAGGATAAAATGCACAGATATTACACCATAAAAACACCAACAATTAAATTACTAAAACTATTGGTGAGTGCAGTAATGGTTATTTATACAAATTTGTATGAAACTTTTCCCCAACTTTGCATTTTAGGACAACAAATTAAAAGGATTCACAATGACCCTTGCAGACATAGTCTTGTTTCGTGCGATCAGTGATTTATAGTGAAGACTGTGCAGGAGCAGAATTTGTGGGAAAAAGAGAATATGATTTCTTGAAAAATAAGAAACCCTTATGACACTTTGCCAGAATATAATTCGTCGCCTGTTTAAAGGACGTTTCTCCACTAAGTGTTGTTTTGTCTCATGAGATTGGCAAGATTGATGTCACTTTCTTCAGATGCTGAAAATGAAATCGAATGTTTAATGAGTCTACAATAAATGAAAAAATAAAGCAATCTTAATTCATAAAAATATTTTTCAGTGCTGTTTATATAACGTATTAAACTATGTACCAGAAGCAGTAGAATAGCCACTTTCAATGGAATCTAAAATACAAAAGCATAATTGGTTGATTGACTGTTCAGTCCTAAGCCTATATCTGTGTGTGTGTGTATTGCATATAGGCTTAGGACTGAACACACATATGTGTATCACAAATAAGTACATATATATATATATATATATATATATATATATATATATATATATATATATATACTGTATATATGGACAAAAGTAAATATATATATATATATATATATATATATATATATATGGACAAAATGTCCCCACAAGGAAAAGGATTTCGGATATTGGCATTTTGTCCCCATAACATTGGGTTTACAGGGACACACACACACACACATGCGCACACACACACAAACACATTTTTTGGTCCCAATGAGGAAAACAGTTTATAAATCATATATATATATATATATATATATATATATATATATATATATATATATATATATACTTATATGCAGTATCAGTTCTTGTCATACCTGCATATTGTCTTTTCCATGCAAAAGCAGCTGCTGCTCCAAACCCCATCATCAGAGCCAAAACCATCAGAACTGAAGGAATCACTGATTTAAATGGCTCCCCGTGATCATACTCTGAAACATGAACCACGGACTCGAATATTAACTGTCATTATTTTTATTTTGATTGTTAAATTATGTTTTCTGGAAATTCCTATTACCTAAAGTGATGTCCAGTTTGTTGTCCAGACTGAGGTGTGTGGCAGAGCAGCTGTATCTGTGTTTGTCTGCACTGATCTCCAGACTCTTCCTCATCTGGTACGTCCCGTCACCATTGGGCAGCAGATCTCCTCCAGTAATCTCATGATCAGGTACAGGCTGTCCATCTCTGAACAGGGTCAGGTTGATGTGACGAGGGTAAAATCCTGTCGCCAAACAACTCACACGAAACCCAGAAGACAGTTCTTTCTGGAGGAGCCTGACTTTGGGTTTCACTAAAAAGGTAACAGAAAGATGTTTTTATTATTATTTATATTGGCCTGACAAATTCTAAATGTAAAAGAAAACACTTGTTAGTTGTTATTCAGTAATTTAGCTGGTCATCGTACCTTTTCTATAGACTTGATTTCTCCTTTTTTCAAGATACCCCTTGAGTGCTTTGATGCAGACCGGTTGGTATAAATGTTCATGATTCCACATGCTGATTTTCAGATGGATGTTCAGCAAAAAAGATGAGATGTTTAAATTACCATGGTATGTGAAGTTCTGGTCAACATAAAGCAACTCATCTGTGGTGGAGCCACTGACAGCATCTCGTGTGATCATTTGTCCCGGTTCGCCATCATCTCTCAGTTCACACACAACCAGCCTCTGAAGGGCAACAACACCTTTAATGAAGAGATAAATATTTAAGGTAGTGTTTATTTTAAATCATAAAACAACAACAACAACACTCATAATTATTAAAATGATTATACATTATTATTATAATTGCCTAAATTATTGCTTTTGTATTATTTATTGTAGGTTTACATTAATATTCAAAGAGTTTTTGATTGTACTTACTATAAGTTTTATTTAAATTATTTCCCAATTATTGCCCATTTTTCCGCAAAAGATGATTGTATATTGTCACTTATTCCGAGGAGAACATTTGAATCAAACACATCGTCTTCAGTTGTTGTATTTCCTTTTGGAATGAGAGTCTTAGTCACACCGTTATAGTACAGAACTGGGACATCATCCAACATCGTTACATAGCTAAATCCAGGAAATGGTGTTTGTCCTTTAATGTATAGGCGCTTTTCCACTGCATAGTACGGTACGGTTCGGTTCGGTACGTCTCACTTGTGGTGCTTTTCCACTGCATGGTACGGTACAGTACGGTTCGCTTCAGGTCGCTTTAAATGGTACCTGGTCTGTTGAGGTTCCAAGCGTACCGTACCGGTACTAAAATGTGACGTGAAACACTGCAGATCACTGATTGGTCAGACAGAATCGTCACTACCAGCGTCACTACTAGCGTCATTGGATTTGCGACACGAGACACGAGACACTTTTTTAGCAGTATTTTTGTTTTGCTGCCATCAGCCTCATTTTAAACGCATTTTTCCGTCTAGCAGTTAAAAACAACCACATACCGAGAATCAGGAACACCATCCCCTCGATAGTCTCCATTGTTCCTGTGTTGTGGGTTTGAAAATGTGGCGCTTTTAAGATGATGTCATGGCAGTAGAGGCGCGCGCAAATAACGATCAGTCCCACATACTTTGAAGGGGTACTACTGCGGTGGAAACGAAAAGCGATCCGAACTGTTCCGCGCCGAGTCGAAGCGTACTGAGCCGAACCGTACCGTACTATGCAGTGGAAAAGCGCCATATGTTGCATGTATCCACAAAGAGTGAGAACCTGTGAAAAAATAACATAAAATGGATTGAATTGTTGCAAACATTCCATCCAATTCATATAAAAATGATGTTTTTTTAAATCAATCTGGTTCGCCTGTTATTTAGTTCTATATTTGTGTCCTATTTTTATTTGATGTTTGGAATTAAATTGTTTCCCATATATTTAATATGTTTAATTAAGTAGGTTTTATAACTATATTTTTTATTTATTTTCTATATTCACAAGACTGTAAAACTACATATGCCTTGATCTAAACTGAAAAGATAAAGGTTTTGCTTCCTCTCAAAGTTCTTTATGGAATTAGTTTCTATGCAACCAGGAAATTTTGGAGCCAAAATGTACATTTACTTTCAAGTTTTGTTTACTCAGTCTTTGTCTGACAAATCTGTACAAACAAATATGTAGCCTATATTAAAGGAGTAGTTCACTTTAAAAAAAAACTTTTGCTGATAATTTACTCACCCCCATGTCATCCAAGATGTCCATGTCATTCTTTCTTCAGTCGAAAAGAGATTAAAGGACAACTCCGGCGCAAAATGAACCTTTAGTCTAATTACACATTGTTACCTAGTCAA